AAATGTTTCAGTGTAACCTATGTATCGACCATTCATCTTTATAGTCTAAAACTCTGACAAACAACAACCGATACATGAGCTTGACACTACTGATGTTATAAACCTTTATGATCTCACATCACAGCAGCCTATTTCATGTTCGTGTAATGAGGCTGCATTGTATGCACCAGACAAGTTTAAAACTTTATCTTTAAAAGCGTAGTCTACTCACTGATCGTCCAAAGAGCATCAGCAGAAGCAGCACGCTGCCAGTTCTGAGCAGCAACATGATTACGAGTCCTCTCAGGAGTCCTGCTGCTCTGTTTCAGGCTCGGAGCGCATCCAAAGTTACCAAAACATGCAGAATTTACCTGCACACGGTCAGCGACAGACCTTACGTCCCTGGATCTACTGCGCTGTTTTCATTGAGTCGTTTCATTTGGGCTCACGGAAGTGAAATCATGTGATGTGATACGTTGGTGGAGTGTGGACGCTTTTACATCAGCAGAGGGCAGTGTTGAGCTTTTTATTCAAAGGGTTTGAAATAATGACAGTCATTGTTTTGAACTATGGGATAGAAGCCTTTTTTTAAATGTACAATCTGACAGGATAGAGTATACAATATACAGCAGAAGGAAATATGGGTAAGAGAAAGACAATGTATTAAATCCGCAATATTTTTATGTCTGGAAATCATGAGAGAGGTGAGGAACAGATGGTCTGGACATGTGCGGAGGAGGGACAATGAATATACTGGATGAAGGATGTTGAATAAGGAGCTGCCAGGCAGGAGGAAAATAGGACGGCCTAATTTAATTTATTTATTTTTTTATTATTATTTTTTAAAATATCATTATTATTGTGCCGTCATATGCTGGTGGCGTATGGACGCTTTTAAGCCAGCAGGTGGCAGTGTTGGGCCTTTTATTTAAGGCACTGAAGACGTTTTTTTTCTTTTAAATATTCACAATGTAACATTTTACTTTAAAAGGTGTGTCAAGTAAGCTGTTTCATTTGGACTGAAATCGGTTTGTGTGTGTGTGTGTGTGTGTGTGTGTGTGTGTGTCTTTTAGTTACCTGCATTTTTCTCTACTAAGTAAAACCCAAGCAGGTGAACCTACGAGGGACTGTCACGGTTCTGGGTCAGTTTCTACCCAGTATTTTGAGTTTATAATGTTTTGGTTTTTAATTTTCCATCAGGGATTGTTTTCTTGTTGTGTTGATGATGACGATTATGATGTTTATTATTAGAGTTTCATGTTTCTGTTTATTTGTGTTTAGGATTTGTTCTTCGGTTGTGTCTGCTTAGTATATGTCTAGTTCCATGTGTCATTTTCTGTCTGTCTCTCAATGTCGAGTCTGCGTCTT